CGTATATTATAAGATTAACTATGGAATTACATAAATATAAGGCAGAAAATGTAAGGTGAAAGCGATAAGCTATCACAGGGCTCAACTTAAACCATATGTTACTCAATATCGCTACCCAACTGAGCCCAAGGTAGAATGGTTAGGAACGAGGCCACAGTCATTACAAATAAGGTTATTGATAGCTTCTTCTCTGTTAAAAGCTTAGATCCAAAAATATTTGATTGAGGGCTGCTTTTGACATTCAGAATAATAATAACATAAGAGACTGTGATAATAAGAACGGTAATGAAACAGTGAGACGCAAATATGTAAAGAAACAATGTAAACTGTGCACGTAAAACAACTAAAATGGCCATCATAAATGCAAAAAGTAACGCTAAAAGCCAACTAAATGTTATTACCGTAAAGTATACTTGTTCACGTATTAGACAGTGTCTAAAGGGATAAATTGTTGCGTGCAACCTCTCTAACGAAATTAATGAGAGATTAGGTAACGAAGCAGCTGGAAATAATGATTCCAGAGTTAAGTACAGGAATGCATACCAGTTGAAATGTTCTCCAAGTATATTGTGGCTCTCCAGGATACGAGGTTCGAGTATTGTCAAAAGAACAGCCGCTACTCCCAAAAGTAAATCAGCCATAGTCAGATTTATTACCAAGTACGTACTGCGCTTGCGTAAGTGACGGTTTCTTGCGAAAGTGGCGAGGGTAAAGAGGTTTATCAAAACAATGACAATTAAGAGGCCCTGCGCCTAAGAAACGACCGATGATTTCCGGCTAAAAAATAAAATCGGCCGATTTTTAACTCCCAAGTAGAGGTTACCGAATACTATTCAAAATTGAATTTTTTTTTGTTTCAGTTTCGCTTTAAACCAAAAATATCGAGCTGCAAACTTTTTCCGTCTGATAGCAGCAAAATTAGGCCTAAAATAAGCTCTCGCAAAAAAACGGTTCAGAAATCACTATTGCAATGCAAAACAACGAGAAAACCACACAGTGATGAAGAAAAAGGCCTTTTAATGCAATATCATTCGATAAACATCGAAAAACTGCCAAAGGGAATAAAAAATAAATTTTCAAATATTGCATTTTAAATTAGATGGAGCGTTGGAGTTGATTTTAAAATAATAATTTCTCAAAAGTCCAACGCTGCTGAAAGCAATCACAGTGATGAATCAGACATTGGAGGGATATACATTACGATTCTGGAAAAACATTTTTCGGCCAAAGTATACTGACGTTGTAAAAACCGTTCAAAGTTACCTTATTTACCGTTAAGTTGCCACTTCGGCGAAACACTTCTCTGTTGCCAATATGGCCAAGGATAGCGTGGTAAACGCCACTTTAAGCCTTGCTAGGCGCTCAAAACCATCCTAAATAGAAGTATATAGAATTAAAAGAGAAAGGAAAATGAAAGATTCGCAGAAAAAGAGAATAACCCGAAATTACCATCAGCTAAGGAGAGTTGAATCTTGGAAATGTTGTCGCGTGACAGCGTTCATTTGTCCCAACTGCAGCGGGATCCAAACAAGTACGTGAAATATGAGTTTAAAAAAAAACACAATCTTTCTATTACCAGAAATCGTGAAGTGAAACAGTTTTATGTTTTTCCTATTAATGATGATGAATTCAGCCTCAACTTAACCTGAGATCAGGCGTTTTTTTTTATTATTTTTTCTTTGTTTGCTTCTTTGCTTCTTTGCCTCGAGGGGAAAAAAATAACGCCTGATACATTTATTTAACAAGCCGTCAACCGCCTCCTAATTTACATAGTCTAACGTCTGCTTGACCTGTCATGTTATTAGCCAATCAGCGTTTACAAGACGGGAATAAAATTTTGGCGCGAATAATATAATGTCTCTTTTGAAATCAGTTTTAGGGAAAAGAGTTCAAATGGGGCTTCCTAAAAAAAATTTTTGAATGTGTTGTTTTTCTGATGAAATACTGCTTGCTGGAGTTGCCGTACCTTCAACAGCTACAAATAATAAAGAATTTACTGGCAAAAGCTCGTTGACTTCGTTCTGTGCCGAAAGCAGTGAAAAAAAAATTAGGCTGAAGCACTATATTTCACGAACTGAAAAGTGTTGTGAAAGCGACGATCGCTCAGAATAATTCGCAGGCTTCTGAAGGAGGAATTACAGTCAAACCTGGTCAAGATTCCATTCATGAATTGATTATTTAAAAAGTGAACCCGTTTGTCGCCTCTGTATCTTGTAGCCGGTATCAAATTGCATTCAAATGATCGGTGAATTTTTGACTGCAACTTTTTGGTATACGATGAGATGGAAAATATTTCAATGGATGAAATTTCTATTTAGGCATTCTTCAAATTCAAAAAACTGAGCCGGCAGAAATTTCAAAACGAACTCGCGTGTGTATTCACTGCTCATTTCGCAAGCAAAAATGCAGACTGAAATCCACAACAACTAACGGATGTCGGCATTTTGGCCAATCGGAACAGCGCAAATCATCCATATTGTTTCCTATCCAATCAGAAAAAAGTCCAGATTCTGGCTTTTTTACATGTGATCCGACAAAGAAATGTATCATGCCCTCTTCCCGTGAGAGACATAAAGGGATAATAGGGAGAGGGCATGATCTCAGGCTAGCCTCAACCATAGTTATTAGAGGAGACTGGTTATGAAAAGCGGCAAACATCAATGATAAAAACAACAGTGCTGCAGTTTATGTTCAAAGCACCGTGAAAGTGCACAATCCTTTGTTTTCTGTTGGCAAATTGTTACGGAATAAATTAATGCAACGTTTTTATTGGTCAATACAATCAAAATGATAGGAATTCTTTTGAACGTTGTGCACTTTCAGGTCCACAAAAACATATAACAAAGGAGTCTGACGGGTTTCATAACCATTCCACTCAATTAACTATTCCTCAACTAGTCTCCAAGTACTTTGAATGTGGGCTGCTTGTATTTCGTTACATACATTCCAACGGACGTTACGGATCAGCGCGTGTAGGGGTAAGCGGACCTGAAGAAAGGCGACGAAGTTGGAGAGCAACGCCATGCTAGGGGGGACATTGGTAGGTACCCAATACCGAAAATAAATGCGGTATCGGTATTTCGTCGATTTTTGACACGGTATTTCGTTATTTACCAATTTTTCTCACGGTATTGCGGTATTTAATTAATTTAATTTAATTTTGCGAGGAAACGTGAGACGACCTCGAATTGATCGGTACAACGAACGAAACATATACCCTACCAATTTCAACATAGATTATCTGTCAGAAATTGTGTAATAGTAATCATTTACCATTAATCTAAAGTCTTAAAAATACTGACGTGCATTAAATTAGCCTGCGTAGCAGGCGCTTGGAAGTAGCGGGCGCGAGAGAGAACGGGCGCGCGCGAGAGAGACTCGCAAGGGGTCATCCAAGCGCCTGCTACGCAGGCTAGCATTAATCAGGAGAGCACAATGAACAGTACCGCAATACCGTGATCTTCTTTTACCGAATACCTTTAACCAAAAGGAAGAAATACCGCATACCGCAGGGCTAAATGATACCGCAATACCCCACTTTAAAATCCAAATTACCGAAATACCGCTTGAAAAAAAGCTCAATACCGTAAGCCCCCATTTCCCCCTCCATGCTGTTGAAGAGGTGATAGAATATTTGGGCTTAAAACATCCAATTACATTTGATGATTACAATCTTTGTCATAATTATCACAGCAACAAACTTTCATCTTTCAATGTTAGTGTTGAAAGACATGTGCGGGTATTTCGAGATACCTTAGAAATCTACAGATCTAAAAAGAAACCTTTTAGCCAAGGTTTCAGTGTAAAGGAATGTGACTGAGTGCAGCAAAAAATAATTTCATTCTGTAACTTTCCTGCGCAAGAGTTTGAGTGCATGGTATGCTGTCCAATCGGTAATGTGACAAGTTGTTCGTTGTGCATTGGTTATCATCTAAATATCATAAATATTATTGTGGAAACAAATTATGAAGCATATTATAAATTGAAGTTGCAAAATGAGTGAGGCACTTTCATCGATTTAAAAGTCCTACCGCTCTCCTATCTTTTTTTATGATATCCTCCCCAATATTTGGGTGACCCTATTCGGCGGAATGGCGGAATACATGCAATCAGTTGTAAAATACGGAATATACGTGATACTCTAAAACACGGAATTTACAGAATATTCTGTATTTGATTTGAACTGGACTGACGAAAAAGCAGAGGCAATATTAAAAATTCAATTTTCGTACTGCCGTATAAGCCGCACTATAGACCTTATGACGGTTTTGAAAGCCATTTTGAAAGCCATTTTTTTTGGAATTTATTTATTCTTAGTTTTAAGTAATTGTAACGCAATTCAGTCTACGGACTGCCATGTTCGATATTTTAATAAACTATCTATCTATCCATCTATCTATCCATCTTGACGGGTGAAGGGTCCGGTATCATGGGAATCTAATGTCGGATAACTTTCATAAAACGGCTGTTCTAAAAAAAAGAATTGTAAACTTAAGCTTGACAAACAAAGTTCTTTTTTTAACATTTGGTTGTTTCGCAAAAAAGAAATAAGCGCCCTGTCCCGAAGAAGCGTCCTCCCTAGAGGCACTAAAAGTAAATAAGCGCCTGGGCGCTAAATCGAATCATTACGGTAAGTCAATTATTTTACTTGTCACGCGCTTAAAACATGGGCTAAGTTAATGAGGGTAAAATTATATAGAAACGATCTGAAGAGAAAAAAAAATTAGTATTACTTCGAGTTAGCACGAGGTTCGAGTCAGTAGCGAGGGTTCGAGTTATTGGAGTCGACCGTATACATGTATACCCTTTTTAAACGATTTTTCTCTTATTCTGCGTTTTAGAGTATTCCGTATATTCCGTATTTTAGAATATTCCATGTATTCCATCATTCCGTTCCGTCATTCCGTCAGTCCGCCATTCCACCGAATAGCGTCACCCCCGATATCTTCATGTCCAAGAAAATACTAAACGCGAGGCTAATCATTGTACCAAGAATTGAA